TGAAGAAGACAGCCCATGGTATTCTGAGTGAAGAAGACAGCCTGTGGTATTCTGAGTGAAGTAGACAGCCCATGGTATTTTGAGTGAAGAAGACAGCCTGTGGTATTCTGAGTGAAGTAGACAGCCCATGATATTTTGAGTGAAGAAGACAGCCCGTGGTATTCTGAGTGAAGTAGACAGCCCATGGTATTTTGAGTGATGAAGGCAGCCCCTGGTATTCTGAGTGAAGAAGACTGCCCCTGGTATTTTGAGTGATGAAGACAGCCCCTGGTATTCTGAGTGAAGAAGACTGCCCATGGTAGTTTGAGTGAAGAAGACTGCCCATGGTAGTTTGAGTGAAGAAGACTGACAGTGGTAGTTTGAGTGAAGAAGACTGACCGTGGTATTCTGAGTGAAGTAGACTGCCCATGGTAGTTTGAGTGAAGAAGACTGACCGTGGTATTCTGAGTGAAGAAGACTGACCGTGGTATTCTGAGTGAAGAAGACTGACAGTGGTAGTTTGAGTGAAGAAGACTGCCCATGGTAGTTTGAGTGAAGAAGACTGCCCATTGTAGTTTGAGTGAAGAAGACTGCCCATGGTAGTTTGAGTGAAGAAGACAGCCCATGGTGTTTTGAGTGAAGAAGACTGCCCATGGTAGTTTGAGTGAAGAAGACTGCCCATGGTAGTTTGAGTGAAGAAGACAGCCCATGGTAGTTTGAGTGAAGAAGACTGACAGTGGTAGTTTGAGTGAAGAAGACAGCCCATGGTAGTTTGAGTGAAGAAGACAGCCCATGGTAGTTTGAGTGAAGAAGACAGCCCATGGTAGTTTGAGTGAAGAAGACTGCCCATGGTAGTTTGAGTGAAGAAGACTGCCCATGGCAGTTTGAGTGAAGAAGACTGCCCATGGTAGTTTGAGTGAAGAAGACAGCCCATGGTAGTTTGAGTGAAGAAGACAGCCCATGGTAGTTTGAGTGAAGAAGACAGCCCATGGTAGTTTGAGTGAAGAAGACTGCCCATGGTAGTTTGAGTAAAGAAGACTGCCCATGGCAGTTTGAGTGAAGAAGACTGCCCATGGCAGTTTGAGTGAAGAAGACAGCCCATGGTAGTTTGAGTGAAGAAGACAGCCCATGGTAGTTTGAGTGAAGAAGACTGCCCATGGTAGTTTGAGTAAAGAAGACTGCCCATGGTAGTTTGAGTGAAGAAGACTGCCCATGGTAGTTTGAGTGAAGAAGACTGCCCATGGTAGTTTGAGTGAAGAAGACTGACAGTGGTAGTTTGAGTGAAGAAGACTGCCCGTGGTAGTTTGAGTGAAGAAGACAGCCCATGGTAGTTTGAGTGAAGAAGACTGCCCATGGTAGTTTGAGTGAAGAAGACTGCCCATGGTAGTTTGAGTGAAGAAGACTGACAGTGGTAGTTTGAGTGAAGAAGACTGCCCGTGGTAGTTTGAGTGAAGAAGACAGCCCATGGTAGTTTGAGTGAAGAAGACTGCCCATGGTAGTTTGAGTGAAGAAGACTGCCCGTGGTGCTTTGAGTGAAGAAGATCGCCCATTGTATTTTGAGTGTTAAGAAGACAGCCCATGGTATTTTATGGTTGATACAATCGCAATGCTTTTGTCTAACGAGGGCATGATATTCTTTGGGTCTTTCGATAAAGTCACGTAGATAGGTTCAAAGAAAATAACAAAAAACTACGACGTTTCGATCGCAACACAAGCGGTCGTCATCAGGAAAAGGGGGTTAGCTTCTGAAGGCAAACTGTTTATAAAGGCCCGAAATGGGCGCAGCCCGAATGTCAGCAGCGTGGGCGGGGCAGCTAATGTTAATGTGAGTGGTGGGCGGGGCAGCTGATGTTAATGTGAGTGGTGGGCGGGGCAGCTGATGTTAATGTAAGTGGTGGGCGGGGCAGCTGATGCTAATGTGAGTGGTGGGCGGGGCAGCTGATGTTAATGTGAGTGGTGGGCGGGGCAGCTGATGTTAATGTGAGTGGTGGGCGGGGCAGCTGATGTTAATGTGTGTGGTGGGCGGGGCAGCTGATGTTCATGTGAGTGGTGGGCGGGGCAGCTGATGTTCATGTGAGTGGTGGGCGGGGCAGCTGATGTTCATGTGTGTGGTGGGCGGGGCAGCTGATGTTCATGTGTGTGGTGGGCGGGGCAGCTGATGTTAATGTGAGTGGTGGGCAGGGCAGCTGATGTTAATGTGAGTGGTGGGCGGGGCAGCTGATGTTAATGTGAGTGGTGGGCGGGGCAGCTGATGTTAATGTGAGTGGTGGGCGGGGCAGCTGATGTTCATGTGAGTGGTGGGCGGGGCAGCTGATGTTAATGTGAGTGGTGGGCGGGGCAGCTGATGTTAATGTGAGTGGTGGGCGGGGCAGCTGATGTTCATGTGAGTGGTGGGCGACGACCGTGAAGGCGGTGGGGTTTCCACCAATTAAAGAGCTGCCAAGTAAAATTTGCATGTTAATGGCAGATGGGTGAGCGACCTCCACGACGAGCGCGCTGAGGTGGCTATGCTAATGTGAGAGCGTAGCGTGTTAATGTGAGAGATTAGCATGTTAATGTGAGAGATTAGCATGTTCATGGGAGATCGCAGAGCCACTGCCACGTCTAGGTCGGCATGCGAAGGCGGCCGTGTTGGTGTGAGAAATTTAACCTGTTAATGTAAAATGGGAGAGCCGAAAATAACAACTAACATGGGAAGGTGGCAGGATGGGAACATCACAGCCAGTTATGACTTAAACTGGTTGATAACGTCCTTCCAATGATTGCTAAGTTTGTACCCATCTTCTCGGTTGTAATTGTGTCTGTATATATGGATGGCTTCATGCACGAATCTTTGTTGATAGCCAGTGGGCTTGCAAAGTACCTTCGTCTTAGAGAAATCAATTTCGTGTGAACCCACCGCATTAAAACAATGATCAGCCACGGCCGAGGTATTGGTCCTACTGTGTTTCAGATCTGCCTTATGTTCACGAACACGGTCCGAGACATGTCGCTTAGTTTCCCCAATGTAACTACTGCCGCAGACACAGCTTAGTTTGTAGACAACGGGGTATTGCATGTCAGGGATCACATCCTTTACAGATGGGATCAGATCACGAATTTTATGTACTGTGTTAAATCGAACCTGGATCTTGTGTTTGCTCAAGATTTTGGAAGTATTTTTGTTGACCCCTGCTATGTATAGCAAGGTGATCGTTTTGATTGGGTCCTCAGATGGTTCTTTCCCAACAGTTGGGGTGATAGCTTTACAGATTGTGTTGTCTGAATATCCATTCATCTTGAGAGCTTGAGGGCATAATGTTTATAGATGGGCCAACCAAATTAAGCTACTTTATCCAATAAGCCAACATTTTGGGCATTATGTATTGCCTGGTGCTGGCTACCCTCCTGGTTTCAGAGGCTATGCCATGAAACAATGTGGGGAAAGCTAAATGAGAAATCAACATTTTGTTGAGTTTTCCTGCACATCATTATTATAGTACATTTTTTTTATAAAAACATAAGCCCTGCAGTAAATGGAACTGTAAAATAATGACCACATCTCAATTGCCCGCGGAGAGCTTTCCAGCACTAAAAGGACAATAACAACATTGCACAATGATAGCAGTCCATCACTGGTGTGCGACGGTAATTGTTTATTGATTTTTATTTACTCGGGTGGGTTGGAGACTTGGCTACGGTATTACCGTTAGCCCCAGCGGTGCCATTGTTACCGTTGGAGTGCCAGACCTCACTCTTCCCTTCATTGCAACGGCGATGGCACAGTCTCCCACGTGGCCCAGAACTCCAAGCACCATCCTTGGCTCGGCGGGGAGACAATCGAGTCGCTGTCTCTCCTGCACGACCTACGTGGGACAAAATAGGCAGGAGCATCCATGTGAACCCAATATGCCTCCTTACATATTCGTCTTTCGACATAACAACTTGTGCACGTAATTTTTACACATTCCATCAGCCGCACAGCTTTTTTTATTTCATGATGGGATGTGTACAAAATATGTGCAGGAAAAAATATATGAAGCAGGCAAATAATAAATAGCTATATAGGCTTCAATGAATATGGCACTTTATATGAAGTGGAGAGACTAACTCCCATCATGGCAATGTGGAATTTACAAAACTTGCAGTAATTATTACAGTAATTATTTGTGATTATAACCCAAACTCAACCTTAACCCAACCCTAAACCTAACCCAACCCTAAGCCTAATCCTTTCCTAACCCAACCCTAACGCAACCCTAACCGAACCCTAACCCAACCCTAACCCAACCCTAACCCAACCCTAACCCTTGTGACGTAGACACCACCGCGCGATCACGCCACACGCAAATAACTAAATGCATGTGTGGGTGTGCTGCACATGCACATAACATTCTTATAAACAGTACATTTTTCAGAAAACGGTCCACCTCAGAAACATCTAAACAAACAAGGTCCCACCCTTGAAGTCTTCTCTACAAACCTGGCGAGTGTCGAAGATAATTCCCTTCTGGTTTTTGCGCTGGACATGCACAACATCCTTGTAATGTTCAACCGGATCTAATTGAGCCATGGCAAAAACTACCAAACCAAATTTTGGCTAAATAGGTGGTGGGACTTTTATGCAGAGGGACGACAGAGCTCCTGTATTTCATTGAGATGTCTTTTCACCTGCGTGCTATAATTGCCACAAAAATCCCAATTTTGCTTAAAGTGCCAACACATCCGTAACATAGCCGCGCATTCCCCGCAGGTTTAGTGTATTTTGTAAGAAGACTTGGGGTTAATGTATTTGTAATGTTATTACGTTGAGTGTGGGGGCTCAAGGTGGCTGCCAAGCTTGTGTCCTACAATCCTTTGCAGGGACAGCTGATGAAATTTGTCACAAGACAAATGTTGCCTTGCGTGGGTCGCGTTGCGTGGTACACCGCATGCGTCCCGTGTGCGGTCGGAGTGCGCTTACGTGGTAGGTGAACATGTCCAAGAGAAGCTGATCTGGCTGACTCCTTCACCTCTTCTCCCCCCGCCCCTCCCTCACGCAGGGTTACTTTAGCGACCCATGGAACGTGTTTGACTTCCTCATCGTAATTGGCAGCATCATTGACGTCATTCTGAGTGAGCTGAATGTGAGTACCGAGTGACGCGGATGAGGTTTCGTGGTGGTGTGGGGGGTGGCTGACTCCTCGGCCTGTGGGGCCCCCCAAGTGTTTGCTTGCATGCGGGCTCTAGAATGGGGGGGGGGGGGCGCAGGGTGGCTGAGAGCAAAGCATTGGGAAGTGAGCAGAAGGGCATTGACTCCTGGTGATAGCCACAAATTACAGAGTTAAATCAACTTGTAGGGTTTCACAGGCTACTTTATGATTCATAATTGAGTTGTTTATTAATCTTAAACATATTTGTACATTTTCACCACCACACATTCCCCACCAACCCTTGCCCGCGAGCAGCCTGAACCTGCTGTGGGTCCAACACCTCATGGAGTTGCTGCTCCTCCTCCCCTTCTACATCTGCATCATCCTCCACCTTCCTCATCCTACTCGTCGTCCTTCTGCTCATCCTCCTCCTCGTGTTTCCCACTAACTCTGCAAATGTGTTTTTCTCTCTCGAGGGTTCTGTCTTCAGGCTGTGGACGATCCGACCGACCGTGTGTTCTCCGCAGCGCTCTCGCCACCTCACTGCCGCTCACAGCTCTGTGTCCTGGTCTCCGGCCTTGTTTCCTTGCTCGTCGCTTTGCTTGGCACCGCGACTGGGCCGCAGTGGCTGAAAAACGAAACGTTCGCAGGGCTCGTGACGATTCCAATTCGGAGTGAGTGGGAGAAAGGGTGTAGCCGCGGCACACGCCGGGGCGAGCTTTTCACCACAGGGTTGCTTTGTTTCAGAGCGCAGAGCAAATTCGCGAGTGGAGGTGGGCGCCGACTCCAGGTCCTTCTGGGGGGTGAGGGGCCGAGTGGATGCCTCGGGGAAGCGCTGTCTTGCGAAATGCTCGGCGGTCACGACAGGCCGCTGCCGCCCACCCTCCCCTCACTTTGCAGTGACCGCTCTCTCGTTTTTATTTAATCTGTTATTCTTCTCTCTCTCTGTGTTTCTGCCCTTGATCTATTCTCTCATTCCCCGTCACTGTCCCCGATGTCTCTCTCTCTCTGTTTCTGTGTGTCCATGTCTCTGCTTCTATGTGTCTCCTTCTGTCTGTCTGGCCCTCTCACGCTGCCTGTATTGTGCTTTCTCTCTCCATCTCCTGTCTCTCTCTCTCTCTCGCTGTCTTTCCATCTCTCTATTAATCTCGCTGTTTCCATCTTTCTCTTTCTGTGTCTCACATTCTCTCTTCATCTCTCTGGCTCTTCCTGTCTCTGTCTTGCTGTATCTCTACAATCAATGTCCGTCTTTTCTCTGTGCCTATGTCTGTCTCTGTCTCTCCATTACTGGCTATCCATGTCTCTCCGTCTCCCATTACTGTCTCTCCGTCTCTCTCTGTCTCGATCTTCCTGGCATGCAGCACTATTTTGCGGATGCATGGAACGCCTTTGACGCCTTGCTAGTTGTGGGTAGCATCGTTGACATAGCGATCACAGAGATGAACGTAAGTAAGAGTGCCCTTCTGCCCTGGCCCCCATCCATCCCACGCCCCCCCCCCCCCCCCGCTGCTTCACTGCCTCACTGCCATTGCTGACCCATCTGCCTCAAAACCTTCCGACTGTAACGAAGCCAAAGCAGCAGCAATGTCAGAACCCGTCGGAACGCATTTGAAACTTTATTTGGGTATGGCACTGTGTGTGACTTCTGCTGCTGCTGCTGCTCAGGCAATCTGCATTCACTGGTGACACTTATCCTCCTGAGTCTTTATTCTTTGGGTTATGTCACGTGATGTCGCCAAATTTGTCTTATACAACCCTCTACCACCCAGCTTAGCTAAACAAATTAAATTGTCATGTGACCAAGCGTTCAACATGCTAATTACTCTTCCCTCAGCTCACCGATGAGTTGAAGACCAATTCTGAAGTGAAATGTCGCAAACCTAATTGCTAAATGTAGCTGTGAGAACTGTTCTTCAGCTCACCCATGGTGAGCTGCAACGATACGAATAGGGGCGGTAAATGCTTGTGCACGTTACATTTTCATTCGTTTGACTACATCAGGTGGTGGTGGGTTTAACAAATAAAAGTTTAACTAAATAACTACATTGCCCAATCCAAAAGTCAATTATGAATCATAAATCTGCAAGTTAAATTTACTCTCGTGTTACATTTCCGTTGGTGATTGCTGTTCGTCTTTGTGGTGTACGGAGATGAAGTGTAACGGGGGGGGACCCTGAGTCACACACGCGGCTGGGGCCTGGTACCGGGGGAGCGTGACGCTTGGTGTCACGCGGCTTCACGCTCCGTCTGCTTCTGCTGTCCACTGCTTCTTGCTTTGAGCCACAGACGCAAAAACGTGATTCCCATCGACGACGATCAATTGTGATTACAGTTATCCCTCAACTTGCGAGAGACATGCATTTGTCCTTAAAAGGCGTCACTGTTTGCACTACAGGGATACCGTGACACTGTCGCAGACGAATGACGCAGCCTCCCGGGTGATCTCATGCCGCCTGCCGTTTAAAATTTGTGAACGCGGAAATTATAATTCGTTCATCGAAAAGTGTCCCATTGTCTATCAATTGCGTTTATGCCAGATTTCGTAAGCCGTACGATTGTAAATTGAAGGACACTTGTACGCATTTCATCAGCAGCAGCCATGATCTATCTGCTCCTGGATGAAAGCCTCCTCACACCTTCACCTTGGCTTACTGTTTTCCGATGCGACGTAAAGTCCCGCTTGTGGTCCATCCCCACAGTGGTGTTGTGGTTCCCTCTTCTGACTACCATCTCATCACCGGTCTTGTGCATAGCGACGTGTCCTGCCCAATGAGACACTTAATGGTCCTCGACCACCACTATGATGTCTCTGTCTCTAACCTACTTTTTGCTCCCTGATCTGTGTGCTCCTCTCTGTGTCTCTCTGTGTAATTCCCAGCATGAACCTTCATTGCGTTTCTCTGTTCGCATTTCTCATTTCCACTCATCCCATTCGTTCTGTCCTGGGGAGTCAAGAGCAGGAGAGACATACCCACTGAAATGTGACCAGCATTGCTCTACGAATCGTGGTGGTGCCAGTGGCTCGTACTCTTGTGGAGCGGCCACATGCCCATTAGTCATCAGTGTTCGGGTGGCAGGAGTAGATATGTATCGAGATCTCCTACCGGTCTTGTGCTGAACTTTATTGCAGTAAACTGCACGGTTTTGATTACATGGCTAGGCCGACTGAGAAACACGTCCGGGTTTTCACTGTGGGAGAGGTGGTGGCCCTACCCTTTGTTGGCCAGGATGAGGAAAGAAGGCGGAGGGAGAAGGAGGGTAAAAGGGACATCCGGTTACTCTGTTGAACGTGGTGGTGCAGCCTGAGACCCAGTGCTGTGTACGCAGGAGTTCTCACTGCCTTCCTGCTGTGGTTACACATTCTACAGCGTTGCAATCTGCAATCTACATTAATAATGCCGTGTACAAATAAAACAACATTGTTAATCATTTTTACTCAATTGTAACCGGACAAACACAAATTGGCAAATCATCCCAATGCAACAGGACACTAGAGAGTTGAGACTTAGTGTATTTCTTCTAGATAAGATGATGACAATAAATTATGAGTATTAGACTTAAGAATACGCAGACTTGTACTCCCTCAGGCATTTAGACCACCACATTGCATGTACAATGATGCTCTCAGCCTTGTCTAGACCAGCAACTCAAGAGCTGAACGTGCAACCGTAATAGTGTTCAGACCACCGAATTAAGAAGAATTTAATATGTGGACGTTCTAACGTCTCTTCTAAACCCGGGCGGATATTCAGCTCTTGAGTTGTTTTCCTTAACAAGGCTGAGATCATTATCGACATGCATGTGAGGCGTATGGATGGGAGTCGTGTTCTTCTGCTATTTATAAACATTACACCTTTGCTTGCTGCTAAATATGTGTTTCTAGTTATCAGCATTCTCCTGCTGTGGTGGCTTTTCTCATAGATTGTGCAGTGTCAGATTGAATTAACTGTTGAAATCATTAAACTCTTAAGTCCAGACTTCACAGCAAAGCCAGGGACAATCTGCTGTGCCAGGTTGGTTTGGAGGTGGGGGAGAGGCATGGTAGAGGAGCAAGTCAAGCGCACCGCCTTGCACGGACAAAGGCCGAGGAATTCACACAGCAGAGTATACAGCAGTGAATTAAAGGACAGTCGTGATTTAAGTGCAACACTGTGCAGCGGTGAATTAAAATACATCAGAACATTGCAGCTGTGAATTTAAGGGCAGCAGAGTGCAGCAGTGAATCAAAACTAAAAACTGTTAACTTTTCTCATTTATTTTACCAGGTAATGCTCACTGAGCTATATAGCCACAAATGAAAATTCAACAAAGTGGATTATAGTGTGGAAATGTATCGCCGCCAAATACTCTAAACACATGTTTCTTAACCTGGAGGGAAAAACCGAACAACCTGGAGAAAACTCCACGCGAACACGGGGAGAATATGCAAACTCAAACTATACAGCAGGCATTAGGGTCAGGATCGATCCCACGACACTCTGTATACATAACGAGGTAGTTAACATCTCACCATCATGGTACCCCAAATTAAGGGTCAGAAAAGTGTGCAGCAGTGGATTTATGGGCAGCAGCGAACTAAATGGCAACAGAGAGAGCAGCAGCAGTGAGAGTTCAGTGCCGACCGGATAGTTGCGGAGAGATGAAGATTCATAGAGTGGGGTTAGGGTTGGGGGGGGGGGAAGGCAGGTGTTTGAGGGTTAAGTAGAGGTGGTGGGCGGACAGGGTCCGTGTGGATGCCCCCAGCCCTTGGTGTCCGCCCTTGCCCCCTCCCGGTGAGTGTCGTGAGGGTCTGGCGGGCGTCGATGTGATACTCCGTGTCATGTGAAATGCTGCTTCTCTGAGAACCTGTGCTGCACACAGCCGTTCCAGCCAACCAGGGATTGGCTTCAGTCGGGTCTGTCTGGGCTGGTGACACGCAATGCATTTCCACACCCGGCATATCTGGGACACAACATTCAGTGTACCTCTCAATATGGCTAATACTCGTGACGTGCCACCTAACCAATCTACCTGCAAACCGGAAAATATTCAGTCAGAAATATGACCTAACCCAACCTAACTCTGTCCCCAATCATCACCAAGCCAATCCTATCTCCAAATCTATTCCTATCTGTAACCCTAACCACGAACCAAACCCTCACACTATTTTCAACCCTAGCCACACGTGACATGACGATGCTATTAGGCCGAATAAACCTGGACAAATGAGACACAGTTGGTGCATCATCGTTTCATCTCATCTAATCGGTGGTGGGCAGGGGTGAATCATTACCTATGTAACTACCAGGCATATACCCGGTCCCGACAGAAACTTAGTGCAGATACGTGGTCCCTCCATCGCCCAGCCCGGCCTCGACGGCAGCTGGGAGGTTCGTTAGCAGCAGGATTATTTTTTCGGAGAAGTGGCGTCTCTCACGACAGCGTCGCCGGCGCGAGCCACCTCACCGCTTCCCGTTGTGTGCCGCCCTCTGTGTGCTGCCCGTGCTGTCCCTAAAGACGCCAGAGCACACGACCCTCACGGAAGTCGTATTGGTAAGCACGCGCAACCCACAGCGGAGCCAGCGGCAGAGGCCGCCGCGTGAGCTGGCAAAGCCAGGCCGTTAAGGGAGCCGCCTCAACGTGTCTCTTAAAATTATTCTTGACACGAACTCATGAGGTGAAGACGTTTGAATATTGAACTCGCATTGAGCAGTACATCACCCTGTGTCAGGCAGGTATGCAGATAGTTTGCCTCCTTCCCATATCTGTCTCTCCACGTGAAAATAAAATAAAATATTTGTACACCTTCCAACGGCTATACAGCCTTCTGAGAGTGAATCATTTCAGCAGCATTGGTTCAACAGAAGCAAACTCTGGAACAGATTTGACGTGCAATGTCTCATCAGGCTTGATTGAACCAATGCTGGTGAACTCCCAGAAAGTCACAGGGCTGATGGTATGTTTAGAAAATACGTTCTATATTGTGGAGGGACATATATGGGCAGGATACATTATTTGCTTATCTGTTATGATTATTATTGAATCCGAGGGTCAGGGTCAGGGATCGGGGTCAGGACGAGGGCACTGAAGATATCGTCGTTGCGAGGCTGCCGCTGCCGCTGCTCACGTCGCCGTCGCGGTTCCTTCTGCAGAACTCGGGCAGCGCCGCCGAGGACAACAACCGCATCTCCATCACGTTCTTCCGCCTCTTCCGCGTGCTGCGCCTCGTCAAGCTGCTGAGCCGCGGCGAGGGTATCCGCACGCTACTCTGGACCTTCATCAAGTCTTTCCAGGTGTGTTGAGGACCAGCGATTAACGGTTGAGTGGTTGGTGGGTAGCTGGGTGGTTCAGGCTCGTGAAGGACGCTGCCAGTCATCTCAGTCAACCCATGGCACCTGGATCTGTTCCGTGACCTCCTGCCAGCAGGCCTTCGACACGTCACATGACCTCAAAGTGCACCCAGCATAGCGCAATCGCCACGGTGACGTCACTGCCACTTATTGGTGAGCGGCGACTGAATATCTGAACCGGTCCCAAGCTTCCCCTCGGTCGACTTATCCCAAAATTAGTACCTGGTGTGGTGTGTAAACATTGCAACTCGGGAGACAAAGGTGATTAAAAGTGGTCCTGGCCACCCACCCCCTCATGTGCCATGCCGGCCTTCATAGGTGCACACTAACAGGACTTGTATGTATGTATTTTGAACTTCTTTCGCACCATATGTGGCCGACCGTGCTAATTGGAGGTGCGATAAGGGGGATCTTTGTCTTTGGATGATTCTCTGGTTGAGTGGTTGAGTATTTGGTCATATAGGTTGGTGGGTGGGTGAGTGGATATGTGCATCATTCAATGATTGAGTAGAGGCCATGGAGCTCCGTGGAGTGGATGGGTTGGTTGATTGTGGAGTCTGCAAGTGGGTGGTTAGTTGGTCCATTGGTGCTTGAGTTGTTGCTTGGGATGTTGATTCGATGGTTGTTTTGTTGGTTGGGTGACTGGTCAGTTGGATGAATGAGTGGTGGTGGTTTGCTCATTTGCAGGCACTGAGGGATTGGGTAGCTTCTTAGCTGGTTGCTCTGTTAGTCAGCCACCTGGCTGATCGCTAGTGTCGGTAGCCGTCTCTATAAACTTGGCGACTGCTCTCCTGCTCGCTACCCTCGTAACGCACTTCTCCCCGCAGGCCCTGCCGTATGTCGCTCTCCTCATTGTCATGCTCTTCTTCATCTACGCCGTCATTGGCATGCAGGTCAGCATTCCCCCAGGCTCCGGGGCCTCTGCAGATTTCGCGAAAGTTTCTTTACGTAATACAAATTTAACACAACGGTGACATCTTACGGAGCAACGCTTTGAGTGTGGTTTGTTTGCGTGTATGCTTCCGTCGGAACAGATGTTCGGTAAAATTGCCATGCAAGACGGCTCGCAGATCAACAGGAACAACAACTTCCAGACGTTTCCGCAGGCCGTGCTGCTGCTGTTCAGGTGTCATGCACGTGCACACACAAAGACAAACACAGAGACCCCTGTATAGGCTTCACAGACTATTGGGGCAAGTGCTGTTAACGAGCAGCACCCATGAAGGCTGATACGGCACACAAGGGGGTGGCTGCCCAACGCCTCGACTGGCCGCCTTTGTCCCTCTCATGGTGATGTTTTACACATTGTACCTTCTTTTCTTTTGAGGCCGAAACTACATTGGGGAGTCCCATGACTGGTTCAGATAAGCATTACTGGTGTTAGCTGTGAGCTGGAATCACACAAGCGCGCATGCGCGCGTGTGTGTCCACAATTTCACACACACACTTGCATTCACGCACTGCGCCTCAAACCCAGTGACCAAAATATCGATTCTTAGTCAAGGATAAAATCAGTGTCGAAAATCTGAAAGCTCCTGGCACTTAACTAGGTCGACTCAGCCTTAAACGAGTGCTGCGGTGTGTCAATATCACCACTGATGAGATAAAGGCGGCCCGGCAAGGAGGTGATGCCTTGTCAATGTTCATAGGTGCTCGCTAGCAGCACCGATGGCACTACGCTGGGGATCTTTGCATTGGTGTGCGTGTTCACGTGTGCCGCTATGCCGCCGGACAGGTGTGCGACGGGCGAGGCGTGGCAGGACATCATGCTGGCCTGCATGCCGGGCCGGCGCTGTGACCCTGACGCTGACGCCAGCGTGGGCGAGGAGTTCTCCTGTGGATCCAGCTTTGCCATCTTCTACTTCGTCAGCTTCTACATGCTTTGTGCCTTCCTGGTACTGCCAGGCACTGACAGCGGGTGGTGCCAGCGATAGGGGTAGAGCTAGAGCAGTGGTTCTTCACCTTTACTGCATCCTTACACCCCTTTGGTTCTTAATCGTTAACCATTTTTAATGTTAATAAAAGCATAGAGTTTGATGAAACAAAGTTATTGTACTTACGTCCCCGTGCTTAATTAGTTATTTAGATGATTTACCTTCTAAAATAATCTGGCCATGTCTCGCACCCCTAGAAAGGGCATCTCGTACCCCAAGGGGATGCTTGCACACAAGTTTAAGAACCACAGAGCTCGAGTATAAGGGATTGAGGTAGGGGATAGAGTCAGGGATAGGGGTAGAGTTGGGGGACAGGGGGTCGAGGTAGGGGATAGAGACAGGGATAGGGGTAGAGTTGGGGGACAGGGGGTCGAGGTAGGAGATAGAGACAGGATATCACCCAATGCTCCTTGGATCATAGGGACGCCTTGACCCATATTCTGTTTCCTTCTCAAAGATCATCAACCTCTTCGTGGCCGTAATCATGGACAACTTTGACTACCTAACACGTGACTGGTCCATCCTGGGTCCCCACCATCTGGACGAGTTCAAGAGGATCTGGGCAGAGTACGACCCCGAGGCCAAGTGAGTGACCATCAATGGGCAACATACGGGGCCTAGTCACCCACCTTCCCCGATACACAGTCCACCCAGACAACATTGAATCTTCATAACCAGCCATGATTGATCCACTGCTGGATGAAGGCCTCCCCAAGCTTGCGCCATCTCTCACGATCCTACAATGCAGCAATCCAACCAGCACCTGCACATCAACTGATATCATGGCTCCATCTTTTCGTTGGACGTCCTCTCGGACATGTTCTATTCCCTGGCTGCCACTCCATCAACCATTATCCCTCGAGACTTCGAGTGACAGTTATTCTGATACTTACTCAGACTCTGCGATTGGCACAAACACATGGAATTGCATTGCTTCTGTCCTGTCCTTGGTTGCTCTCCCACCTAAGTTACAAAGTCATGTCAGCCTGTTGATCTTTGCGATAGCTTCATTCGCAGTTGTATTTCACTTATAATCCTTGTCTGTGTGCACACTCGTGCAGTAATCACCCTAAGTCTGTTTCACATTTTATTATTGTCTGTTCACACATGAGTGCAATAATCATCCTTGAATCTATGCGGATGATTTCTGTTGCTTAATTTTACTACGAATGGTTTATAAAAGTTACTTGACTGAACCAGTTTTTGTCACTGGAAATAAATTTGATTTAACATTTATTTATGTTGATGCCGTATTTTCTATTTATTCTGTAATCTGGTTGCTTTTACTCTGATTTCTGTTTGGTTTTTGATCTTATTTCTATAATGCCCATTGAGTTAACTGATGGTGTATATTTAACCATTAATACACCCACTACTAACCAGGGCGTCCTGTCGGACTCGAACCGCGAACCTCTGCAACAGGCATCGAGCACGTCACCGCGCTGGGTAGTGTCACCACAACTGGACACCGCGATGATGAGATGACATTTGTTTTGACCGATTTGACGAGATGTGAGTTTGGCAGCGTGACCTCGCTCTGCGCGTGCGGCGACAGGGGCCGGATCAAGCACGTGGACGTGGTGACGCTGCTCAGACGCATTCAGCCGCCCCTCGGCTTCGGGAAGTTGTGCCCGCACCGCGTCGCCTGCAAGGTGAGCGAACCCAAATCTCGGTTCCCGCACGAAAAACTACGACGTTTTTTAATTGGCAATACGCAATTGGACCGCAACGCCTCTGAGCTTACCGTGCCACTCGACCGCTTGCTTCTCAAAAGACTGTCGATCTCCTGAGTTCTCGCTCGCAATGGCCGTCCCCCGCTGTGGGTGTTGCGACCTCTTGACCTCCATGCTACGTGCCACTGTCCCCCACAGCGCCTCGTCTCCATGAACATGCCTCTCAACAGCGACGGCACCGTCATGTTCAACGCAACGCTCTTTGCCCTCGTCCGCACTTCGCTCAAAATCAAAACGGACGGTAGGCAGCGCACAGCAGTCCCTGCCACTAATTACCACCAATATCCTCTCTCCAGATCAACGGTTCATCTCTCTGCCACTCCTGTGCAATGACAGTTGAGTTGATTTCTCAGCCAAACATTTATTGTAAGATCACAAGTGACGCCATCACATAGCTCCCTCTATTTAAGGAACGAAACAGATTCTGGCCGTCGCCTGATGAAGCTGGTTGTAATTACTGGCGACACGTCGTACTCGGATTGTAAATGTTGTGGATTTGCTCTCCAACACACCGGTGTGCTGTACTAGTAACGAATTGGCATGTTCTGTTTACGTGACAAACTTTACTAATTGGCTGTGGTGGGTGGTGGCGGGTTTAACGACACATTTATATTTACGTGATCTAACCCAAAACACCTCTATTATGGGTGACATTTATGAAGTAATTTATGTCGCAAGTGTTTGGGGCATGAACAGATATGTGCGAGTGTACGTGCTTGCAGGAAACCTTGAGCAGGCCAACGAGGAACTGCGAGCTGTCATCAAGAAAATCTGGAAGCGGACAAACATGAAGCTCTTGGATCAAGTGGTTCCCCCTGCTGGAGGTGATTGCTGCTTGGCTGTCTGTGTCAACAAAGTGAAGTCCTACCAACTCCACACGTCGATTCCTCCTCCCATGTTGAGGAATCTGTCTCTAGCGGACTGACTGCTTCGCCTCATCTACCGCACTGTGTCCCACCACCACACTGCAGCTCACAACAACTCACTCAATCACTCATCCACTCGCACACTCGCCACACTACAGGCCACGACAATGATCGCTCTGCTTCTTCCCTCGCACTGCTTCACTATGGGATTTCCTCCGCCCATCACCATCGTCTCTTCTCTTAACTCTTACAATAACGTTACTCAATTCAAGAAACGTGTCAACTCTTACGATTACAAAGTCAACAGTTGCTGATTGTTTTTCACCGCATGAGATTTTTGTGCTTTTGGGTCTGTGCCCAGCAACTGCGTTAAACAGCAATCATATTAATGACTGTTAACAGCAGGGTGCCAGATTGCATGGTGCTTACAGGCTCTATCTGCTGCTGCCCCCCTCCCCGCCACCACACCCTTCTCACTCCCCTGCTCGTCCTCGCCTGCCCCCCCTCTCCCTACCTCATCACCCACCCTGGCCACCTCGTCGTCCGGCCACCACACGGCGTGCGTGCATCACATTGCCCTGTCCAGCAGATGATGAGGTGACCGTGGGGAAGTTCTACGCCACCTTCCTCATCCAGGACTACTTCCGCAAGTTCAAGAAGCGCAAGGAGCTGGGGGCACTGGGGATTGGGCCTAGGAACACCATCGCCCTGCAGGTGACGGTCCAGCGAACCCCGTGTGAGGGCGAGGTGCAGTGGATAGCGCGCTGCACCACGAACCTGGCAACCACAGTTAAATTCCTACGCACGGCCAGCTTCTGTAACGAATATCTGCATCCGGTCCTGGACCTCTCCAAGATAAATTCAGTCATAAATGAGAACCTCGTGGAGGGTGTAAACATGAGCGCTGCGGAAGACAACCGCTGCCAGGCGTGGTACTGTCACCCGACCCTGTCGTGTACCGTGCTGGCCCTGATAGGCGCTCCCAATCAGCACTTGCCCCAACAGCCTCTATGGTGATTAGAAGCTTTCGTCACTGCAGGATATCATACTCTTAGGTTATTTCGGTAAAGTCACATAGATAGGGAAATAAATAAATAACAGATCACGCCATTTCGATCGCAGCAACAAGCGATCATCCTCAGGTGAACGAGAGAGACACGCCTCTGTGACGAGGCATTATATAGAGGGGGAGGAGGGGAGGTTTTCTACACAACTCGGATATAATTTAAACCGAGAAGAGGGATGCAAAATTTAGCAATCTTTGGAAGGACGTTGATCAACCAGGTAAAGTGTTAACTGTTGTGCTAGCCGACTCTCTGAGTTGCATTACATTTCAACATTTTGTTAAGTTTTATATCTCAGCTTCCTTGTCACATTTCTTTTCTCTCTTTCACCCAAGCCCTCTTTGAATTATATCCCCACCCTCTCGCCCCTTTGCGGCCTCCCCTCCCCTCTCCCCCTCTATATAATGCCTCGTGACAGAGGCATGTTTCTCTCTTTCACCTGAGGACGATGGCTTGTTGTTGCGATCGAAACGTTGTGATCTATTTTTTATTTGTTTTACTATCTACGTGACTTTACCAAAAGAACCTAAGAGATAGCCTCTGTGGTATGGTTTATTCGCTCAAAAAAGTGAAAGACAAACAGTGCAAATAAAAAAAGGTAAAAAAAGGTGTGCAGGTGAGGTCGGAAACCCAAGAGAGCTTATATGAAAACCTATACCAAACAACTTAACAATGTTTATACAAAATTAAAGCATAGTTGTTTAATTGTATGGATATATGGGTGGTCTTTGTCTTTGTTTTTATACTTGTATGAGTCCACGCATGTATGTAAACAATTTGTGTATATGTATACACGTGCGTGTATATGTGCACATACACGCATGCATGTACCCATGCGCGCGTCACACAGGCTGGGCTAAGAACGCTGCACGACATGGGCCCTGAGATCCGACGCGCGATCTCGGGGGAGCTGCAGGAGGACGATGACCTGGAGAGTGGCGCTGATGGCGAGGAGGGCATATTCCGGGTAATTCTAAATTTCAGAAATCGGTGGTACTTTTGGGCTGCCTGGCACGCACCGAGCGCACACATGCATTGTGGATTTTTGGGAATGTGCTTATTTATCCAGGAGAGCCGCAATGCGTCGTAGGAGGGTCCTGCCACATTGGGTTTTTAGCTTAAAATGTGTTCAGCCAATTAATGATGACTCGTGTTTAATATACACATGGGAGGAAACCGGGGGACCCGGAGAAAGCCCATGCCTTGCCTGAGTGGGCAAAAATATACAAATATAATAATATAAAATAGAATAAAAAACAACATGAAATAAAACAATATTAAATCAATAAATATATTTCGATGGTCAATGCAACAGGCGGCAAACTCGTTCCCATTGTACCGCGTCACCGCCACTATGCATCTGTCAGTACAAAGCTAATCCATAAATACATACGAACTACAACCCTGACTAATCTACTGCACTTCCTCCCTTGTTGCACTCCGGTCTGGGGGTCTGTCCAGCGGTCTGGGGGGCTCTTCTCAAACCACGTGAGCTGCTACCCAGGCGAGCGTCGTGCTTCACTGCCCCAGACACTGGCCACGCGGCGCCCTCTACAGATCCAGCGTCCCCCCAGCACCCCACCACCCGCATCGACCAGCCAGCTGATGGGCAACCACCATCACCACCATCATCACCGCCACCATTACCACCCACGGCAGCGGCAGCCTGCCCCCCTGGCGTTTGCGAACTCGCATCACCCGAACGTGCAGACGCAGCAGACGCAGCATGACGGAAGTTGCAGCGGAGAAAGCGATGGGAAGAACCTCGCGGTGCCAGAAGATTCGATCGACGACAACAACAACGAGGATGACGGCGAGGAAGAGGAGGAGGTGGCGGGTTGCGGCGACGAGGACAACGACGACGGCGACGACGGTGGCGGCGGGCGGCGTTTGCCAGACGCGGACAACGCGGCGGCCGACGATCGTTGGAGCGAGCGTCACCCGCGGGGTTCCCCGTCCAGCTCCAACTCAAACCTGAACAACAACGCGAGAGGCCCGTCGCCGCCGCCGTCTCCTCCTCCGCCGCCACCGCCCCCTCGCTGCGTGCCGCCGGGCATCCAGGAGGCCCTGCTGCTGCAGGTGGTGAGCACGGTGGCCTGTGCGGCCCGCGCGGGGCCCGCGCCGTCGGCGGGAGCAGGCGGCTGCGCGGGTTGCAGAGCAGCCGAGGCGGTGGAGCCCGCTGGGCGGAGCGATGTGACAGGCGGCAAGGAGGATGCGGTGACCAGGCGAGGGAGTGGAGGAGCGTCACCGAGCATCACGGGGAGCTTGAGGAGGTGGGTCGACATTGGGACTCCCTCTCTCCCAGACATAATCATCTTGTGTACCACCTTCAAATGAGTGGCCAAGAGAATGGGTAGTTCATCGTGTAGTGCTTATCAAAGGTGTAAATGCAACAAGGAATATATAAAACTAACCACAAAGTGCATACTTATTAACTGGAAGGAGCTGTTAACTATGCAATAACGGGCACCAATAACAGTCATTCATGTATATTGCATCTAAAACGCTATAGAATTTGTACTACTCGTAGTTTTCTATACATAGGCATGGCAAACCACAGGTAAGCAGGAAGGAAAGCAAAACCGGCAGTCACAATTGCCAAAGCTCTGTGGTCCTATATTGGGATATATGGAAAACTCCATCATGACTGTTTATACACGTTGGAGGAAACCGGAGTGGCCGGAGAAAAAACACGTGGACACAAAATCCCAGTACAAATTAAATATGATGGATATGAATGCACTTGCAGACCGCTATTGAAAGTGAATTGGTTATGGCTGGGATTGCTTGGTTAACCTAAAACACCGATGTTTCCTGTGACTGCCCAATGCTTGCCATTCTGGGTTGCCAGGAGGCGGTACTATGAGGCTCTGATCCGGTAGGTACCCATGCCATTCACGCCACGACTCAGTTTAATCCACTACAAATACCAGTTTCGCTGTGTGTGGGTTTTTTCGTTATGGGAGGAAACTGGAGAACCCACAGAAGAAGGGGATAAAATGCAAACTTCACTCCCTCACATCTAGACAAAGATCCCCCGTATAGCATTTAACAGACTGTTGGTGCATGCGCTGTTAGCTAGCACCTATGAAGACCTGAACGGTACACGAAGGGGTGGGTGGCCAGCATCATGCCCGACAGCCTTTATCTCCCCAGTAGCGATGCTTACACATCACACCAGGTACTGATTTGAGACTGAGTCGACCTAGGGGAGGCGCTGGACTTGTTCAGATTATCGTCACTGGTGTTGTGCCGTGAGCGGGAATCAAACTCGTATCGTCGGGTTCGATGTGCAGTGCGCTAAACGCTACATCACCATTTTCTGCACTCCCTCACATAAAAAAAGACAAATAACCCCCATATAGCCTTCAAAGACTGTTGGGGCAAGTGCTGTTACACACACACACAACAAATTAAAATATGTCTTTAAGTGTGTATGTGTGTGAAAAAGAGCTTCACACTCGCACACATACACACTCCATGAAGAGTTTTGATTTGGCAGCAGAGGTCCTACAATGAATTGGTCGCTGGAATTATCTTTTTATCGGTTTGTAATGCTGCGTGTGGCAGCGGCCGTGTTTGCGAGTGCTGCTCTAGGAAGGCCCTCCGATGAGGCTAATGCCGAGACCTTTGCCTTTGCGTGCTCAGCCTGGAGTCGGCTCCCGGACTGGTTCCCGTCATCCGCGCAGAGGAGCCACCTGGAACGGCGGAACAAGACCCCCGCGAGTCGTGGGGGGGCCCAGCGGGGACGCCCGGGGTCCTGGCAGAGTCCGGGGACTCTGGGGACCTGGGTGATGCCGGTGACCAGGCAGGGATGACCCTGGAGAGGTGCGCAAAAGTTACCCAATAATAACGATCTTTGCATTTGTATGGCGTCATCTGAAATGCCTCGACAAACTCAAAGCACCTTACATCACATCTCAACTCAAAACGTTTGGAGGGCATTCCCAGTGGCAGCTGTCCCTGTGTTGTATAAGGTAACACAGCACTGGCCTCCTAGCAGACGTTAATCTGCCAATAACAAGCGACGATGATGCTGCTGTGTGTAATCCCATTTGAGAAATTTGCGTTTATATTTTTTTTATTTAGCAAATTAGAGGAAAGTACCTACATTAAAATTAAACGAGATCCAACTAATACTTTGGAACGTAAGACTACTGCAATCATTGCAAATTCATTAATCCCAAAAAATGAGCAATTCCTAATTAAGCCAAGGGCTTCAAAACCACCTAGACTGTATGGGCTACCAAAGATCCATAAAATCGGCATCCCATTACAACCCATAGTCAGTACAATTGGCTCTGCCACATATAAATTAGCAATATATGTAACTAAACAAATACAGCCCTACATCGGTAGGACATCTTCATTCATAAGAAATTCAGAACATCTTGTGAATATGATCAAAGATATTAAACTTAACCCTAATGATATTTTGGTGAGTTTTGATGTGATTTCGCTATTCACTAAGGTTCCAGTGAGCGAGTCACTTAAATTACTTGATACACTGGTAAAGAATACAGGTTTACCAAAAGATATTCCGAAACTCGCTGGCCATTGTTTAAATAACACTTACTTCTTATGGAGAGGCGAATTCTTTAAATAAAGGGAGGGAGCAGCAATGGGCTCTCCTTTATCTCCTGCTATAGCAAATTTGTACATGAAAAACTTTGAAACCAGAGCACTTGCCTCGAGCACGTTAAAACCATCCTTTTGGATTAGATATGTGGATGACACTTTGGTTGTCTGGCCACATGGTAAAGATACACTTAACGATTTTCTAAATCATCTCAATGCACAAAACCCGGCCATTCAGTTCACCATGGAAATGGAGGTGAATAACACACTCCCGTTCCTGTATATTTTACTTGGGCATGGCCTAAATGGTAAAATAACACACAGCGTTTACAGAAAGCAAACACACACTGATGCCTATCTGAAAGCAGATTCGCATCATCACCCAGCTCAGACATCCTCTCTTATCAAGACGCTCATACATCGGGCTAAAACAGTGTCAGATGGTGAAAGTCCAGTGAGAGAGATTAAACATGTTAAAGAAGCACTAAGACAGAATGGCTACAATAATGCTCAAATTAACAGAGCACTAAATGCCAAATCATGATCGCAAAGCGACACTGCTGAAAGCGATCAGATTATTAAAACAATAAAAATACCATTTATCTCAGGAGTAACTGACAAATTAGCCCGTGTTTTGCAAAAGCAAAACTTTACAGTAAGATTTGGTACAGTACACAAAATTCAACAACTAGTAACTTGCACTAAAGACGAATTACCTAAATTATCAACAGAAGGTGTATATCGGATTAATTGTTTATGTAGCAGATACTATATTGGACAGACAGGGTGTAACATTAGTCTAAGACTAAAAGAACACCAGAGAAATATTAAACTATCGCAAACACAACTGTCGGCAGTGGCAGAACATGCTTGTCAACAGGGACACTCAATTGATTTTGACAACGTTGAAGTGTTGTGTAAAACTAGTTACTACTGGCAAAGACTAATTAGATAATCCATTGAAATTGAGAGAAACAGAAATAACTTTAATCGCTCGGACAGCTACAGAATTAGTGCAGCCTGGAAGCGTATTATTAAATAACACACATTACAATCCCTTATAGAGGAAACAAACACTAACTGATTACTACCGTAGCATAATCACAATAAAACACATTCCAAATGATTACTAATCTACAACTCGCATCGTAACAACTGCCTGATTACTAATCTAGTATATAATTTCAATAACCCCCCCCCCTTAAATCGTTGCACCTGATGAGTTAATGAGTTAATGATGACGTCACCCTGCTGCTGCTCTATATAAGAACGTGAGACAGAGCAGAGCCTCACCATTCTGGCGAATTGCCCGATGAGGGGGAAACTGCCCTGGCTTGCCAGGGGAGACACCAAGAGCATCGAGGTGATCCTTCCAGCCCGTCCGGATCTCAAGTGAGACCTAGCCACCAGCCCCGAGGCCTGCGAGGGCCCTGACCGTGTGGCCAGGGATGACCACGCTGCCAAGAAGCGGGGACTGCTGGAGAATGGAGACGGAAATCGCAACAGACGAAGAGGGGAAACGGCGAGAGTCAAGGACCACGAGGGCCACCCGAGTTGCTGAAGGAGACTGGGATGACCGTGCCGCCCAGCTTATGCTCGCAGCAGATGAAAAGGAAGCAGGGAGAGCGCCAAGAGAAATGAATGCCACCTGCACTGCTGAGGGAGCCAGGGACGACAGAGTCGGCCAGACGGTGACTGCAGGAGACAAGAAGAAGACGTGGCGAAAGCAGAGGGCCACCGACACCACCTGTGCTGCCGGAGGGGACCGGGGCAACCAGACCGACCCGCTGGCAGCAGGGGGATGCGTGGAGGAGGCACGGAGACGGATGGAGGGGAACGTGGCGGAGGCACGGCAGAAGGAGAGGATGGAGGAACTGGATGGGAGGGCGGGAGCTGATGGAGTGGGTGAGGGAGGCCGAGGAGAAAAAGGTATGGCGTCCGGAAGCAGAGAGGCGGGCGTCCCCGAGCAGAGGGTGGGGAACGAAGCCAGGGAGACGCCAGCAACCCTGGGGCAGGGGGAGGCCCAGAGGGAGAACGCGACAGTGGACGCTGGACCGGTGGGAGCTGGGAGGCCCCGGGAACGAGACGGGAAATGGCGAGGCGGGGCAGGGGTGAGTCTGACACCACCTCATGTCAAAAGACATAATTGCGTCAGAGTAATGATGAAGGACGAGGTAGCATAAGAAGTGACCATCGACCGAGCAACCTTTGTACGGTCAATAATGATGGGCTTGCTACAAATAGAGCCGACAGACTTGTACTGTTTGATAACTCTGCCGGGAGGGAGGGCGTTTGATGTAAGCTTCAACTCAAGCCCACTGCTACAAAGATTTATGACCCGCTTCGAGGAAAAGGCAGAGGAGAAGCCATTGATATCAATGAAGCTACAACTGTTATCAGAGCTGGACACGAAGGTGGTGACTATTTTCTTATACAATGAAGCCCTACATGACCACGACGTGGAGGTTTGGCTAAGACAGCACTGCTCGGTACTGTCGGGCTGTAAAAAGGTGAGGGACTCAGTGGGGATATGGACAGGGGCAAGACAATGGAGGGTGCGGCTGAAAACAGAGGGAGGGACCTTGAGACACATCCCGAGTGCCCTGAACATAGGAGGCAACCAGGGATATGTTGTGTATGCCGGACAACCTAAACTGTGTAGGAGGTGTGGGGGCAGCGGTCACCTGGCCGCAGTGTGCAAGACAAAAGTCTGCTATAGATGCAAGGCACTGGACCACGAGGTAGAAGAATGCAGTGTTCCGGCACAATGTAACCTCTGTGGTAGCCGAGAACATCTGTACAAGAATTGTCCGGAGTCGTACGCCAACAAGGTTAGGGCGTATAGGGTAGGAGGAGCGAGGGATGAGGAAGGGGGTGGGACCAAACTGGACCTGGATAAGGAACTGGTGAGGGAAGGACGTGGGGAGGCGGCTGAGCAGCAGCCACCAGCAACGGACAGAGGGGGAGAAGGGGAGAGGCATGCAAAAAGAGCAGAATCGACATCGAGCGAGCAGGAAGAGGGGCTGGCGGAGGAGGGGAGCGACGGCATGGGCAGCATCTCCGAGACGACCGTGGAAGACTGGGCGGAGGCGGTGGAGGAGGATGAAGGAAAAGGGGAACGACAGCAGGAGGAAGGCGGTAGCGAGACATGGGAGGGACCAATCGGAAGGAAAAGGAGGATACGGAGAGCCCCAAAAAGAGGCACCCCTTCAGGAAGCACGGAATCCTCGGACTCCTCGCCGGACGCAGAGGCCTCGAGGGAGGGGATGGCGGAAAAGGTGGAGAGCCGGCGCAGGGGGAAACCCTTGAGAACAAGGGGCAAAATGAAATTGCGGGAACTGGCGAATGAAGACGGTTACGGAGGGCGAGCGGAGAAGGCCACTTCGGACTGAGACATCCCAACATGGAACTTTCTGTGGCGTCTGTAAATGTGAGGAGCTTGAAGGGAAAGGGGAGGAGAGGAGCAATAATACAACTGCTACAGGCTACCAAGTGGGAGGTGGTCTTCCTCCAGGAATGCCACCTACCATACACCCTGGGCCGGGAGGAGCTGTTGGAGAGCTGGGATGGCTACTACTTTTGGTCCGGGAGTAATGAAAATCGATGCACGGGGGTGGTTACCCTCCTAGGCAGGAGGGGTATACAGATAGTCGGGTCCCAAGAGGTGATCCCGGGCCGCCTCCATTATGTGGACGTGTCTTATGGAGAGGCAGACCTGAGACTAATAAATGTGTACGCCCCCACGACTTGCACAGAAAGAGTGGACCTATGGAATAATGTAGTGACCCTACTCGTGACGAGACGGCAAGTCATAATGGGGGGTGATTTTAACTGCCCGTTGTGCCTGGCAGACCTATTATCGGTGGCTGGGAGGATGAGGCTCGACCCTTCCTCTAGGAAGTTGAAGGAGCTGATAGAGGATTTTAAAATGACTGACACCTTCAGAAAGGTACACCCGGTGAGACCGGGATACACGTGGTCGGATAAGGGCGGTAGAAGGCAATCACGAATAGATTTCATCTTTGTGTCTGCCAATGTGAAGGTGGATGGAGCAGACCTGGAACCCTTCCCCTTGTCAGATCAAAATTTGGTGAAGGCAAAGCTCGGTATTCCAGGTGGCCTGAAGATGGGGAAGGGAACCTGGAAAATGAATGTGAGCCTGTTGGAAGACAGAAGGGTGGTGGAAGACTTTGTAAGGAAGTACGAAGACTGGACGACCCTGCAGGAATGCTTTGCCACGAGGGTGGAGT